TGGTTTATGCAAACGACACCCCGAGGTCTCAGGAAGGGAAGGGTTAGGGGCATGGGTGGTCTCATCCAGCCACCCTGATAATAGCCGTTCAGAATAAATATTAAATAGCAGTTTTGGTCAGGGGGTGGTAGGGTTGGGGAGAATTCTTGGGATTAAGGATATGTGTGGCTGCTGGCTGGAGAACACAGATTTCTTGGTGGGAGCGGGGCTATCAGTCTCCAAGGTGGACCAAAGAGGCCCAGCTGATCTCAACTAGATCTACTCTGGCTTTCTCCGTCCCCTTCTCAACGGTGTCTTGCTTGGTTCACGCCTCTGGTACTTGCTAGAAAGAACCTCCCGGCCGCGTGGTTTGGGGCCAACCCTCGAAAGGGTATGGTTCCGCGGTGGTTCACCTGTTCTCTCAGCCACCGCGCCGAGATTGCCCGGCAGAGGGCGACAGACCTCCACCTTTGGGAGGTGGGGTAATAGGTAAGCGGCACCGCTATTCCCCAATCTGCACACAGACAGGCTTCCAGACGGCCAGACCGGGTAGGCAAACACCACCCCCATGCCGAGATCTTCCCAGGTACCACCGACTCTACATTATGGGGGGAAACTGAGGTCAGAGCGGAATTCCCCAAGACCACGCAGTTGAGGCGGGACAAAGCTGGGGGGCTTTCCCCAGAGCTTGAGACCAAAGGCTCCTCGAACCCGCGTGCTGGGTGGACAATCCTCCAATCAAAGAGTCTATCCGATGGAGAAGGCCGAATCGGCCAATCAGAGGGTCCTTGCCGGAAGACAGAGTCTGCCAATCAAGAGTGCCGGCGGGGAGGGGCGGAAGCGGTCAGATCTTACTGGTGGGGGCCGAGCTGTGAGATGGGAGCGACGCTTGCTGCTGAGCACTCCGTTTGTCAGTTGCCTCAGTTTCCCTGTGAATAAGAGAAGACTGGGCCGAGACCCTAGCAGGAAGTCAAATTGAGGCTGGGAGGTCGGCCTGGTTGGCTGCCTGGCGGAGGCGGTGTCGGTTTGGGGGCGGGGTATCTCCTGGCCCCGCCCCCAGTACCCGCCCCCAATAGCTCAACCCCAGTTCTCTGCCGCGCGCGCTGCCGCCAGTGCTGCCGGCTCCCGGCTATGGACACCCCTGGGGCCCCGGCCCCGACCGCCACCCCGGCCCCAGGCAGGAAGGAGCTGAAGATCGTGATCGTGGGCGACGGCGGCTGTGGCAAGACTTCGCTGCTCATGGTGTACAGCCAGGGCTCCTTCCCCGAGGTGAGGCCCGCCGGGGGGATGGAGGCAGGTAGGCTGGGGTTGAGGGGGAAGGGCTTGGGACCACTAGGGGCGAAGGATGGGCTTAAGCCTACGCCCCAAGCCTGGACCCCGGGTCCCCGGCGTCCTGAGCACTGAGAGGTGGCCGTCACCCCGGGGCGCCCCCTCGGGAATTCCAGAGCCGGGCAGAGTGCGGGTGGCTGAGCTGGATGGGGTGAAGATGGAAGGTGGGGGATGGGGGTCCAGCTGGACCCTGGGCCCCGCGCCGCATCCCTTAAGAACCAGCCCGACCCCTTCTCCAACAGCACTACGCCCCATCCGTGTTCGAGAAGTATACAGCCAGCGTGACAGTGGGCAGTAAGGAGGTGACCCTGAACCTCTACGACACCGCCGGTGAGTGCGCCTGTGCTGAGTGGGTCCGGGTCCGCCCGAAGGACTTCCCCTGACCGGCATCCCCCGCCGGGCATCCCCGCCCGCCAGTCTCTCCCGGGACCTGACATCTCGTTACTCCTGGAGGCCGCGGAGGGGCGCTGGCTGGGAGCGGGTTGACCACCGCCTCGTTGAGTGGTACTGGAGGCCGACAGAGTCGCTCCCTCTGTTAAAGGAGGTTATTTGGAGGAGGTGGTCTCCTGGGCCACCCTTCTAGCTCTGATGTGTTGAGGGCTCCCAGCTTCGTTCCTCTCCTGTGGTTCTCGAAAACCGTGGGCTCTGCTTCTGCTTTACCATGGCTCCAGGATTTCGTGTATTACATGCTGTGGTTTCTTAAGATTCCTTGGGCTGCGGATTTGAGTCCCCTGGTGTTAGGATTCAGCGGGCTGCATTGCTGGGTCCTATGTTCTAGAACACTCTGGGCTACAGATAGGAAGGAGCCTGTGACTCCCGGATTCTGTGGCCCACAGTCCTGAGGCTCCAGAGCCCTGCAAATATAAATTCTGAGTCCCATGTGTCTGGGTTTCCACGGGCTATGGTGCATGGCTCTGGAATTTCGTGATCTACAATTTTGAGCCTGTGTTTCGATGATTCTGTGGCTACAGTTCTGCTTCTTCCTAGTTTCCTAGGAAGAAACCGGGCACTGGAAAAGGATCAGAGCTCTAGGGGATGTATGGCCAAAATAAGATTCTCTCTGCCACCTGCAGCTCCTAAGGCAAGCGTATTTATGCTAATTGCGTCACAGTCACCAGCATTCCTATTGTTGGGGGTTGGGTGGGAGGCGAACAGCCACCAATGGGAGGATTTGGGTAATACTGCCTTACCCTTGGGGAGCTTCCATCCTCCCTGATTCCTACTGAGCTGAATCAACACTGGGGAGCAAAGGTCGGGGTCCCCACTTGGAGCCTCACCCAGCCTCTGTGACTCAGTGTTTCGTGACCTGCATGGAACCATGTCATCAGGTGCCCCTTCCCCTGTCAGCCAAGCCTTATATGTATGAGGTAAAGTCTTCCAACTGGCCTTGGATGGGGCCCAAATCCACGACCACCCTCCAACCCCACCCCTCCATAAGGCTGCCAGTGGCATCTCTCATTCCACCCTGGAGAGAATGGGGAAAGCGGGACTCTCAACCTCAGACCCCTCCTCCATTCCTGACTTTACTATATGGGTGTGTCCCCAATACAGTGGCCTCCAAGGACCCTCTCTTGTTGGCCGAGGGTCCAGCAGGGCCAGCCCTAGAACACGGCCGTACCTCTAGCCCTGTGAACTGGGAGAGCCACAGGCGTCTGAGGAATTCCCAAGGGTGTGGCCACAGGAACAGTAAACATCATGATGTGTCTGGGACACTTTTGGTTTCACATGCTTCCTGTCCGGGACCCAGGTAGGGACAGGTTCATTAACCCCACCTTGTGGGTGGAGTGCTGGTGAGGCAGGGAGAATCAGAGGGTAGATTTTACTCTCTCCTCCCTCTGCTCTCAGAATTTCTCCAGTCAGATCCTCGGGGTTCGCTGTTCATTGCAGCCTCCTCTGTCAGATCCAGAGCAGGGACCACTTCTGGCCTTTCTGGCCTCACCCAGAGAAAGATGCTCAAAGAACTTACCAGGGTCGGTTATCACGTGGAGGTTCTGGAAAGCTTCTACTTGTTATAAGGCAGGACTTTCACTAAGAGCTGCTGTGGGAGGGATGGAGTCATCAAGCGATGACCCAGGCAGTGAGAACCTCATCCACAGTTTCCTGCTGCTCCGCATACTTTGTAGTCAGACCTGGGCTTTGATGCCAGCTCCCCTGGCTATGTGTCACAGGCGACACCTGGGCCTCAGTTTCCTCCTCTATAATCAGGGTCAAAATAGCCCTGAAGGTTAAATCAGATCCATGTGATGTGCAGCGCTTAGCACAGGAAGAGCTCAGTACCTGCTGTCATTGTGATTTTTTAACCCCCGCCTTCAGGCCCAGGCCCGAGCCCAGGCCTGTTCTTCTGAATCTACGGCCTGCAGAGTTTTGTGCTGGCCCCCACCCGTGCTTTCCCAGCAGGACTGTTCCAGGCAACAGAAAAGCAGCACTGGGGTTTGAACCTGTCAGTGGAGTCCCCGGGAGAGTAGGCTGGCCACACTGCAGGCAGGACAGCCCCAGGAGAGATACTCCAGGGGGGGAGAGACGTGAGTGCTCCCCCAAGGGTCTTCCGCCGGGAAGCCCCACTGTCAGGAGGAGCATGAAGGAGGAAGGACTGTGTCATTCCTCTTCCACACGCCAGTACCTAGCGCAGTGTTTGTCCTGGAGCAAGGCTTGCAGAATGAATGAATGAATGAATGAAGATGAGACCTAGATGTAGAGACATCCTTGGAGAAAGTCCTTTGCGATAAAGATAAGATTTGTCTCTGCCTGTAGGGCAGACAGATATCAGGAGAAAGTGGAAGGAAGGATGGCCAGGTGACCAGCTCAAGAGAGATAAAGACTAAGAGGGTGACGAGAGTGGCCAGTGGCCGAACTGGAGATGAGTCTAGTAAAGGTAGTTGTAGAAGGTTCTAGAACCTGATGGGCTAGACCCCATGGTGGAGGGCAGGGGGCAAGGGAGCATCTTTCCCATCAACCAGTGGTGCCCAGAGCTCCGGGATGGGGTGGCCTCCGGGATGCTGTATTTCTCCACACCCAGGACCTCAGCCACGGGGGTCCACGTGGGAGGACCGTCTGGCTACTTGTCTCCATCCTGCGGAAGCAGTTACAGACACCGCAGCGGCGGGAGGGTGGCTGGAGGGGTGACGGAGCTCTCGGTGTGCAGAGGTGAAGGAAGGCGGGGGCTGTACCCTGACACCCTCAGAGGCAGGAAGCTGTGGTAAAGTCTGAAGTTTCCTGGGCATAGAGAAGGGAGGCAGGGCGAGGTGAGATGTTAAGACACCAACCAGAGCAGAGCTGTCTGGGCCTTGGGTGGGGCCCAGGGTTGGGGCATCATAGGATGGGGTGGAGTTGCCCCCGGGAGGTGGGGAGCTGTGGTCCCCCTTCCCAGCCTGAGATAGGAAAAGGGGGGCAAAGCAGTTACTAAGACAGGAATCAGGGACAGGAGGGGTGTCTAGGAGCCAGGAGCCCTGGGGACCGGGGAGCAGATCCTGCAGGTCTGTCGGAACTTGGTCTGTACTCCGGGCCAGGGCTGCCCCAGCCCCAGAGGAAACGCAGGTGGGTGGGACCCAGCAGCACTAGTAAAAGTATGTTCCTCTTCTGGCAGCTTCCCCTTCTGCCTGCACCCTTGTCCTGACCAATCCCCCACCCCGGCTGGAGCTGGGAACTACATGCCCTGTGGCTATCCTCCAGCAGATTTGAGGGCCAATGTGGCCCAGTGACAAGTCTCCTGAACCCAGCTCCAGGCCTTAGAGACCCTGCCCCAGGGAAGATGACTGCCAGGGCAGAGCTCCTTCCCGCAAAGGAAGCAGCCTCACTTAAGGCCAGAGCCTCACTTCCTCCTGCCCCACACTACCACCAACTTCAGGAAGATGGGCTGCTTCAAGGGGAGCCATGACCCAGAAGACCTTTCCTCTCCAGAAGCAAATGCATCCTTTTGCACATAAATCGACATATTTTTCAACCTCTCCAGCCCACCCGCAGAGGCCAGACTGGGACCCCTGTTCACCCCTGGGCAGATGACGTGCCCCTTTAAGCCTTGGCATCACTGTGCTAAATGGGGAAGTGTCATTCTATCACCTTGTGGCTGACAGGCCCCCTAAAGCTGCTGGGTCCAAAGATCAGGGGTTACAATTTCCTCCGCAGGCCCCTGTCCTTGGGAGTTTCTGTTTCAGTTGTAACCACAGGCCCACACCTTTGCCCAGAATTGCTCAATCCTTTACTTCCAGTTTCAAGGGCAAGGTTATCACCCCCTTTTCCAGATAAGGAAAATGAGGCGCAGAGAAGAAAGGTGCCAAGATCATGGAATGTGAGTCTGAGTGGAGCCTGGCTCTCCTGACTCCACCCTCCCGAGGGACACGAGGCCAGCAGCACCCAGAAGTCCATCACCTGCAGGCCTGGTCCCTGTGTGGAGGCGCATACTGACTCCTGGGAAAGCTGAGCCAGGCGCCGTCCAGCCAAGAAGGCAACCTGGAGAAGGAGCTGGGATCTGGGCTGGCTGCCCATCCTCTCCCAGGGTCCCTCCCTCTCCTGAAATGCTGGTGTTGGCAGCCTTTCCCTCACCAGGTCAGGGCTGGGGCTTGCAGGGTGAGGACCGCTCCCACCTTCTGTCCTCAGAGGGAGGCACCCCAATATAGTTTTACCTGTAGTCCTCTGTCCCTTACAAGTCTTCCGTTTGGCTGTGTGACTTTGGGCAAGTCACTTCACCTCTCTGTGCTTCCGTTTCTGCATCTGTAAGATGGGGATAACAATAGCGCTACCTTGTCCAGACCAGGTAGTGAGGAATGAGGAGTCTGTGCAGGTAAAGGGCTTTGAATGGGGCCTGGCATGCAAAGAGTGAGCACTGCTGATAAATATTGCTGGTAGTGACCATTTTTATTACTATCAAGGCTCACCTGCTCCTCACATATCCATTTCACAGATGAGAAAACTGAGGTCCAGAGGTTAAGTCCCAACTGGAAAGACTGGGGAAGGCTCCCTCGGGAGAATTGGAGCTTTTAGAGTGGCTGGGCAGGCAGCAGACCTTGGAGCTGGGCTCTGAGTTGGTGCTTCAGCTCCCAGGAGGTCTATGACCTTGAAAAAGGCCTGCCTTGGCCACCCACGTGGGCTCCTAACAGGAAGCACTTGCCCCGCCCAGCGTCCCTCCCAGAGTGACTGCTTAAATTAACACAGGTGATGGCATTGAAATGCCCTTGCACACCTGAAAGCCACAGAGATCATCATTACACTTTACTCACCCACACATTTGTTCACTCATTCCCCAAATGTTTTTTGAGCTTGTCTGTGTCTCAGGGGATGTAACAGTGACCAGTACAGAGATGGCCCTGTCCTCAGGGGGCTTACGTGCTCCTGAGGAATACCAAAAAAAAAAAAAAAAAGGTGAAATCAGGTAGTGACACTTGTTAGGAAGAAAAATAAAGCCACAGTCAGTCATGGGACAGACTGCAAAGGAGGCTCTTGTTTCAGAGCATTTGGAAAGTTCTCTAGGAAGAGGTAACACTTCTGCAGAGGCCTGAAGGAAAAGGAGGGAGTGAGCCTCACCGCTACCTGGGGAGAGCCTTCTAGAAGAGGGCACAGAGGCCCTGCATGGGAGCAGGCTTGGTCTGACTCCCTCCTTCCACCCGCTGCAGCCTGACTTCTGCCCTCATCAACCTGCTGAAATCATCACAGGCTGTAACTGCTAAACCCGGTGGCACATCTCAGCCCTTGTCTCTGCTGCATCTGACAAGACTTGAACAACTTCAGAACAACCTACCAGCCAGTAGTGACTGGACACCTGCCAGGTGCTGGGAACGCTTTTCAAGGACAGGCATGGCCCCTGCCCTTAGGGTGCTCACAGTCCCTGGGGAGACAGGCAGTGAACAAGCGAGTGAGTGAGGACAGGTAGGGACAGGCAGGGCGGGGACAGACTTGGAGCGGCCAGGGAAGGCCTGTCTGAGGGCAGCCCAGCAAGACATCAGAACACAGTAGCCCTGTTTTACAACCACTGTCTTTTCCTGCCAGATTTCTAAAAAGGAATCAGAACGTATGTTAGGCCAGAATTATGAGCCGCACTGTTACATCGTAGAGGCCCGGGACCTGTTTTCCGCACTACAAAGCAGAAGGGAGCATTGCAAGAATGCTGGCCTTGGAATTGAAGGAACTGGGGGTCAGTCCTGGCTGCGATTCGGTGACCTCAGGCAGGTCATTTCACGTTTCCTTATCTGTAAATGGAGTATTCGGAAGTTCCCTGACTTAGTGGATCAGATGCTGGTTGTAGAGATTTCTTAATCCTGCGCAGGCAAAGTCCCTCTCAGAAGTGTGAAGTACAAGGTGGTATTATCCATAAGTAGAGGGAGAGCGAAGGTGCTGATCCTGTGGATGGTCAGCCTGAATGTTTAAAAGTAAAGTGCTAGGAAGAAAATGGGGGGGAGGGATGAGGGAAACACATCCCAGGTGTGGCACGAGAGCTTGGTTGGTTGAGAAACAGCAAGGAGGCCACCTTGGCTGGACCGCAGTGAGTGAGGAGGGCAGGAGAGAGGGAGATGAAGTCGGGGGGCGGGGGCGCCAGCCACGTGGGCCACCGGGAGATGCTTGGATTTCCTACAAAGGGCAGTAAGGAGCCACTGAAGGTGTTCCAGTTGAGGGGAGAGGGAGCATGATTTTACCTGTGTTTTAAGATCCCTCCAGCTGCCCAGTGGGGAACGGACTGAGGGGCAGCAGGAGACAGACAGTGGCTTGGATGAGGATGCTGTCCCACAGAACTTACCACAATGATGGAAGTGGTCTGCACCTGTACCGCCCATTACGCTAGCCACTGGCCCCGTCTGGCAATTAATCACTTGAAATGTAGCCAGTGCAATGGAGAGCCTAAATTTTTAATGCCAATTAAATAGCCACATCGGATAGCACAGGTCTAGGAAGATGTGGACAAAGGTTAGGACAGGGGAGAATTTGGGGGCGTGTGTGGAAAGAGGAGGAGATGGGCTGGACTAGCATATTGGGCCGGTTTTCCACTGTCCTACAAGGATTTCTGCAGCTTTGTGCTGTTAAGGGCATGAAGGGCCTGAGGATGGCCCAGCCATCGTTATAACTGGATCACAGGTCACTGCACTGCTCAGGTATCCCTGGGTTGCGGGGGAGCCAGTGGGGAGGAGATGGTGGCTGTACCCCATCATCAGCAGGGATCTTGGAGCTGACTTGGCCTGTCTGTGCTCACTGGAGAGGCCACTTGTCCTGAAGGGCCTTTGGCAGGGAGAGAGCAGGGGGCAGGCTGACTAGAGAGGCCACTTGTCCTGAGGGGCCTTTGGCAGGGAGGGAGCAGGGGGCAGGCACCCACAGGCTGGAGGGAGGGGCAGGGATTCCATGTTCTGTGTTCCCAGGAAGGAAGTCACCAACCGAGTCTTTCTGCAGTGGTGGCTGGGAGTCAGTGGTGGCTGGGAGTCGCCAATGGGCCTGAAAGTTTCTCACTTCTCTATGTGGGAGTTTTTCAAAAATACTGGGGCCTGATTACCAAGTGTAGCGCCTAATCCTGGGCCTGCTTCTGGACCAGGGAGAAAAACTACTACAGGACATTAGTGTAGGTAAAATCTGAACACGGCCTGTGGATTGGATTAGAATACAGTGTTGGTGTCTGAGTTTGATACTTATACTGAGGTAGGTGAGAGGATGTCCTTGTTCTTAGAAAAACCACATGTGAACTCTCCCTGGCGGGTAAAGCAGCTGAAGTTCTGTTACCTCTTACGTGGTTCAGAGGGTTTGTCTACAGATAAAGCAACAGGGCAAAATGTGAACATTCGGTGAATCTGGGTAAGGGAGTTCTCTGCACGCTTTTTTGCAATTTTTATGTAGGTTTGAAACTGTCAGTATTAAAAAAAGTGGTTTTTTTTTTAAAGCAAACCCACTGTTACCCAAGCCCAGCCTTGGGTTATGATCCAGCTGAGCCAGGAGCGGTCAGCTCTCCCTGGCGAGTCTAGTGTGCAGTGGGGTTGACAACCGCTGTGCCGGGTGGACTTAGGAGGGGGCGTGCTTGTCGCCTCCGGCAGTCCTCCCACCCTCCTCCCAGCACTGGTCATAATGGCAGTCGTTCCAACCAGAGGCCATGCACCTCTCAGCCCGGAGGAGGGCCACCGTCCATGGTTAACTGCAGCGTCCTGGGCCCACCCAGCCCCACTGGTCTGAATCTCCAGGGAGGGAAGGGATTTGGCTTCGGAGTCTGCTGTAAACCTGAGCACCCGGGCAGGGTGGTGGGAGGGAGAGGTAATCGTCACCAACCGCTAGTCGTTTTTCCAGCACTTACTGGCAATCAGGCCCACCTCTGAGCGTGCATGGCGTTTATCCCGTGGCATAATCCTTGCTACTGTCCAGGACTGTGGGCTGCCACCTCTGTTTGACAGATGAGGAAACTAAGAGTTGCTTGCCCAGGAGACCGCAGCCTCTCACCCACCTGAACCCAGGCAGGGGACTCAGGTGGACAAGTGGCACCTCCCTGACCCGCACCTGCTGTCTGGTTTCAGGGCAGGAAGATTATGACCGGCTGCGGCCCCTGTCCTACCAGAACACCCACCTCGTGCTCATCTGCTATGATGTCATGAACCCCACCAGCTATGACAATGTCCTCATCAAGGTGAGGCCCATCTCCCCACCCGCCTGCCTCTGGGGGTGGGGCCACGCGTGGGCCCCAGCCCTGATGCCCGCCTTCTCCTTCCTCTCCTTCCACAGTGGTTCCCTGAGGTCACGCATTTCTGCCGTGGGACCCCCATGGTGCTCATCGGCTGCAAGACTGACCTGAGGAAGGACAAGGAGCAGCTGCGCAAGCTGCGGGCGGCCCAGCTGGAGCCCATCACCTACACGCAGGTGGGCCGGGGCCCCCTCCCCAGTCCCTGCCCCCCAGCCAGGACCCCAGGTACCTAGGCACAGCCATGGCCGAAAAGCCTCCCAGGCCTGTGGCCCCTGCATCTGGTGTGCCTTAGTGGCTTTTTGGGAGCTGAAGCCAGCAGGATGCTAAGAATAATAATTTTAAAATATTATTATCAATAGCACATTTGAACACTTTCCATTACTTACCATATTTAATCCTTATAACCTGAGGTGGGTACTATTAGCATCCCCCATTTTTCAGGGGAGAGGTTGAGACTCAGAGAGGGTAAATAGCTTGCCCAGGGTCACACAGCTAACCTGAAGTGGAGCCACAGCCTGGACCTTTAACCACCAGCCTGTCCCATCCCCCCAGGGCCTGGATGGGCAGCCCCGTGTTGGAAAGCAGGCTTCCTTTCAGCAGCCTGACCAAACCCTGCGGCCTTCTGGGTGATGCAGGGGAGAATAAAAGGAACACAAAGGAAAACTAATTAAGTTTAATAAAAAGGAATAGGCATTAATAAAGTTTAGAAATAAAGTTTTTCTTTTTTTACTCTAGCAGCCAGCTCAGTTGCCTAACTTGAGCAGGGAGAGGCATATAGCAAGGCCTTTGGTCTTGAGGCCTTCAGCTCTTCTCATAGGCCTGGCAGACACCACAGCCCACCCCAGTTCTGGGCTGGAGTCAGCCCCGCCTCTGCCCGAAGCTGAGGAGTGGGGGTGGGGACCAGGATGGGCTTCTCCCAGCAGCTGCAGCCCAAGGGCCACACCAAACTTATGTTCCATCCACACACACAGCGGGGGTGCTGGCCCTGGGATGGGAAGGGGGGGCCCACCCAAAGGCCTCCACCCTGAGAGTCCCCAGATCTGTGAGGGGGTCTCCCCAGGCCCCTCGTCTAATCCCAGCCCCTCCCCCCACCCAGGGCCAGAGCGCCTGTGAGCAGATCCGAGCTGCCCTCTACCTGGAATGTTCCGCCAAGTTTCGGGAGAACGTGGAGGACGTCTTCCGAGAGGCCGCCAAGGTGGCCCTCAGTGCTCTGAAGAAAGCGCAGCGGCAGAAACACCCCCGGCTGTGCCTGCTGCTTTGACACCCCCGGCGGGGCACTCAGCCCTCACGACAGACAGAACCGATGGGCCCGGGGCCTCAGGCCCAGACTGCTCCCCAGGTCCTGCCCCCTTCCCAGCTCTCGAAGGGCACGTGGAGTCGGGGGTTTCCAGGGCCTGGTGTCTGGAGCCTGTGTCTAGGCTCTTAGAACATTCTGGAACTCTTTTCCCAGCTGGGGCTTTGACTGTGAGCTGCCCTCTGGGCTCACACAGGAGCTGTGGCCTGCGTGGTGGTGGTGATGGGTGAGGATGCTGGACTCGGTCCCTCTGTACCCTGGAACCAGCCTTTGTCCCCAGGACTCAGGAATGCTCTTGACACAACCTCCCCCGAGCTGTGCGTCCCTTCTGCACACCCAGTAGGTCCTCAAAGCCCATGCTTGAAAAACATCTGGTATTTGGGTAAACACAGACGTGGCAGCGTTCCGCATGGCCCCCAAGCCTGCTCTCCCAAGTCACCCGCCGCCCTGGACTCCAGAGATAGGCATGGCTACATCCTCCAGCTTCTTGCTTCCTCCCCCCAGGAACTCGGGCGCCGTGACGGGCCGGGGCCTATCAGGAGAACACAGGCAGCAGCCCCGGATGTGGGGGCCTGGCACCAGCCCCCCCGCCCCTCCGCCCCACACAGCCTGCAGCTTGGCCACCATCTTTGCATTGCTGGGCGCACATGAAGGCGGGGAGGACCTCTCAGAAAGAAGTATTCCCTGAACCATCCACCTGCCCCCAACTACTTGCCAGAAACTCGAGATGAAAAGTGACCTTGGGCAAGTCAGGTCTCTCTATAGACTGTTTATCTGCAAAAGGATGTCACTGGCTTAGTCACCAAGCTCCCCTCTGTCCCTGAGAGCCTCCACTTCTGCCAAGATGTGGAGATCTGGAGTCAAGGCCATCCTGGCCTCCTGCGAGAACAGACTTGATCAACCCCCAGTGCAGATTCACTGAACCTTCTGGAGGGTCAGGGGTCTAGGAGTTAAACAAGTGCCCCAGGTGATTCTGATGCCCTGGAGATTGAGAGCTGCTGGCTCCTGAGTGAGCCCAGGAATCCGTGTTAACCTAAGATGAGATAATGGCTTCAGGTATCTCCTGCCTCAAACCCTCTCCCTCACCCAGTGCTTCGGCCCCACAGGCCTGAGAAAGACTTCTGAAGTCCACCCCACCCGGGTTCCCGAAGGCCCTGCCATGACCTGGGGAGTCAACAGAGCACTCGGTCCAAGGCCTCGTGGACAAATGATGGTTTAGGACAGAGATCCGCAAACTACAGTCTGTGGACCAAGCCTGGCCGCTGCCTATTTTTGTAAATAAAGTTTTATTGGAACACAGCCATGCCCATTCATTTATGCCTTGGCTGCTTTTGCCCCACGACTGCAGAACAGAGTAGTGACAGAGACCATCTGGCTCTTGACGGAAAAAGTTTGCCAACTCCTAGTCTAGGGCAAACCCAAGTGCCTAAAGGGCCAGATGGGAAACCCAAATGAGTGAAGTAGGGCAGGGATAAAAGGGAGTGGTGGGGCCTGTGGCAAACCAGGAAGCAAGCAGCCCATCCTGCACAGGCAGCTCAGCCCAGCCAAATGCTGCCCTGTGGGAATGGTGCTAGGTCTTTCCATTTCTCTAGGGAAAGCAGAAGTCTGGATTTTTATTTGGAATCTTATTAGGGGGAGGGGAAATTTCGTATTTTAAAAATGTAAACCCCTTTGATGGCCAAAGCATGACTATGCACACCGTCTGTGAACTCTGGTCAAAGGAGATTTCTAGGAAAGTAGTTGGGGGCAGCTGAGGCCCCTGTGAAGAGGCAGAAGATGTTACCAAACCTGTTGGTTTCTTCACCCTCCCCTCAAATACAGAGCCTAACGAGGTGACCAGCAGACCTGCCGTGGCCTCTAAAGTGCGGCCTCAGCCTCCTGGCCTCCTTGAAGTGAGGCTGTTCAGACATCCCCCACCCCACGTTCCAGAACGTCTGAGGTGAAGGGAGGGAGCTGGACAGTGAGTGACCTCCATGCTGGCTTAAGTCCCAACCAGTGCTGAGGGTCCCACTCCCTGAGTACTCACTGCAAGAATTTGGGAAGGTGGGCTGAAGGGTGGGGGTCAGGAAGCCCCCAAAAGTGGACCCAAACTTCATGTCAAAAACAAAACAACAGAAAAAAAAAAACAGGTCCTCAAACCAGCCGAACAGGGCAGGAGCGCCCTCTGGTGGTGACCCCCAGAAAACCTCGCACCCCAGGCCAAGCCCCAGGCCTCAGGGAGGTAGGGCGGCTCTCCCCAGGTGGCCGGCACGCAGGAGACTCAGGAAGCACAAAGAGCAAGAGGCACAGACCACAGTGGTTCTCTGAGAACTGAAACACCCCCACCGCGGAGGCGTGGAGCTTACAGCAAGGAGCTGTGTCGGGAGGGAGGCTCCACAGGACACTGAGGGGCTTCCTTCCACCCCCGCCTGGGACTCAGTAAGTAGCAGGTCAGCGGAAATCCAGCCCCAGCGAGGCACGTCCAAAGCCCAACCTGAGGGGCTCAGGTGACAGGAGCGGGGGACAGAGGGGCTCCCTGAGGCTTAGCCTCCCCGCCCTGACCAAGACTGACCCAGTCTCACCGAGAGCAGTGGGGCAGGAAGGCCGCAGATTCTAAGGGAAGGAGGAGGGCCAATATTAAATATGTCATAAATAGGCAGGCTGGGGCCAGCTAATACTGTGCGGACAGGCTGGGGTCACATTCCTTTTGTCCGGCCGGGGACCATAGCCTCAGCCCCGCTGCCAGTGATGCCACTGGCCCCTGAGGTCACTGCTGTCAGTGGCCACTGGCACTGCTAGGGAGGAAGTCCCCCCGCAGCCTCAGAAGTCCGGGGGCTCGAGGGGCGCGTGGGCCTCATGGCTCACGGCTTCTTGGCCTTGCTTCTGTTCTTCTGCAGCTTGGTGTGCACGACTTTGAGCGTGGTCAGGAAATTGCCGAGGAAGAGGACGAGGAACGTGAGTGCCAACACGAACACCTGGGGGGTGGCGGACGTGCAGAGAAGGGCAGTGCTCAGGGCACGGGAAGGTGAGGCAGAGAATGGAACGGAAAGAGGGAAAAGGCCAGGCCGGCTCTGATCCGCTTTCCTTGCTGAAATGCCCACCACACCCCCTGGGACCTCAGCACCCCCTTAGCACAGGCTACCAGCAAACCACAGGGTTTGCCAGCAGAAGGCGGGGATCTGGGCCAACTGGGTGAAGGGTGTGAGTCCTCGGGGTCGGGCAGTGTCCCAGGGGGCCCCTCCCTCGGTCCCCCTCATAGTGCAAACCTTCTTGGACTTCTCAGATCACTAAGGGGCTCTCTGGCCTCCTGAATTCCCTCCCATGGTCTCCCAAGCCCCAGGAGCTGAGCAAAAGTAGGCCCCACAGAAGTGGGGAGGTGGGTGGCTGAGGAAGGAATTCTCCCCATGCGGACCCAACCTTCCCCTGCAACCAACACACACACACACACACACACACACACACACACACCATACCTGCCATTCTCTGCATTCCTCATGGCTGGAGAGCTCAAATAACGTGACTGCGTTGTAGAGCTGCCAGAACTGGAAAGAGGGGAGGTAGGCACAGCTCGCCCCACCCAATCACCCCGGAGCCCCACGTGGGAAAGCCCAGGGAGGGGGGCCAAGCCCCCCAGCTTCTGCTCTCAACTGCCCTGAGACGCTAAAAGCCCCCCTAAATGCAACTGGGGCATTCTAGGCCAGAGCAGCTTGAGGACCTGGGGCTGGGCAAGCTGGTGCCGAGCTCTGGCACCCCTGGACCCAGGGGCCACCCAAGCTCCAGGACCCCGTGGGGCCAGCTCAGGAATGGCTGATGAGAGAGGTGGGGGGCCTAAAGACCTGCTCCCCGCAGGTTAGCCCAGTGCACGGGGAACCCACAAACTCCAGGGGACTCACGTGGCCGCAGAACAGGAAAGGCAGAAGGAAGGTGAGGCCTCGCCACATCCAGGACTGAAATCCTTCTGTGGAGAGGAAGGAGGGAGCGAGTGCCCGTGTGAGGTGGCCTAGCCACACCAGTCACTCTGAGATCAGCCAGTTCTGAGACACATGGGCAGGGGAGGGGCAGAGCCCTAACCTCCTCAGACACCTGCCACCGGGCCTGACGGCTCTCAGTGCCTCAAGTCACCACGAACCAAGTGGGCGGACAACCCTTACCAATGCTGATGAGCCAAACACTAGGTTTTTAATACTTTAATTCACAAGGGATTTTGCATTTTATTATTAGCATTTGCATGCATCATTTCCATCGAGTTTCGACAAAATAGGGCCTACTTTGCAGAATAATTCAATGTAAATGACCATTTCAAAAGATAGTAGACTCTTATTAAAAACATTTTCCCCTGAAAGTTTAGATGAGGGGTCTCTGAGCTTTTCCGATGGGACACCCGGCCCTATGAGTTCAAGTTAAGCCCACCCTTTCTGATGTATATACATGTATTTTTTTTACAAATATTTATGTGTAAACATACATAAATTGTGTAAGTGCAAAAACACTAGACTAACATTATGTACATCATAAAACAGACAAAAAATAGGTATTTAAAATGGAAAAGCTAGAGGCCAGCATCAGAGGCCTGGCACACAGCTGGCCTCGTGCTTGTCGGCTGAAACGGAACCCACGAGGAATTAGGAAAAGCAATTGGGGTGAGGTCGGCAGCCCTGGCTTTGCATGTGGCAGATCTTGTTAGGTTCTAACTGGCACCTGCTCCCAGTGAGGAGTGCGGGGCAAGGTCTAGGGGAGCGGGGAGGGCCAGTGCTCGTCTCCCCATCCCCAGGCCTGGCTACTCACCCACTGTGAGGTCCAGGTGATTCCTCTCCCCCAGGGCCCGCAGTCGGTAGAGGCAGCCCCTCTGGTAATAATACTGCAGGAACTGGACACAGCCTGCAGGGGGAGCACAGTGCCCAGCTCAGGGCCTGGAGGGCCCAGCCACACCTCCACTGCAGGCCGGGCGTCTTCACTGCCGGGGCGGGGGCGGGGGTACGGCCCCCTCCCACCCGCCACACAAACACACACACACACACCCACACCCACACACATACCACACACACCACACACACAGGTCTGAATCTGCTTTATCCCTCACCCAGAATACAAGATAGAAATTTTATACTGTAATAAGGACACAGTATAAAATTCAAAGGGAACAAACAGGTCATCTGAAAACCCAACTGAGCCCGAACGAGGCCTCTGGAGCTCTCCTTAGGCATGCAGTAGGCACTCAGTGGATGCTTGCTGGAATGGTGGCATCATGCTGGGAGCCGTGGGCAATGCCAAGACATGAAAGAGAGAGTTCCGTACAATGGGGTAGTCACTAAAAATGAGGCAGAATTCTGTGTGCTGATGAAAAATACCCATGATGATGGTCAAAAGAATATAAACCAGGGAGGAGGGTATAGCTCAAGTGGTTGAGTGCATGCTTAGCACTCACGAGGTCCTGGGTTCAATCCCCAGTACCTCCTCTAAAAGTAAACCTAATTAACTCCTCCCCACATAAATAAATAGATAAATATTTTAAAATAAAAGAATATAAACCAGGTTATAAGCACAGCTATGTAGAAGGCTCCCAAATTTGTAAGCTATACAGAATGTAGTATATGTGTATATACATATTTATGAATAAAAATGTTTGAAAGGACATAGATCTGTTAATACCCTAAGGGTGGGGTTACACGTAATTTCCCTTCTTGGCTTGTATGTTTGTGTTTGTTTGTAACCAGGACTTTATTTAAAAATTAAATTGTATTCGGGGGGGAGGGTATACCTCAGCGGAAGAGTGCTTGCTTAGCATGCATGAGGTCCTGGGTTCAATCCCCTGGTACTTCCATTAAAAAATAAATAAACCTAATTACCTCCTGCCCCCCACAAAAAAAGAAAAAAAATTAAAAATAAACTGTATTTTTGAATAGGCAATATATACACGGTAAAAAATTCAAAGGGAACAAACAGGTACTTGGTGAAAAGTAAAAACACCCACCCTGTCCCCAGCCATCCCCACGCTGCTTTCCAGAGGCCACCCGTTATTGTATATAAATCCAGAGCTATTCTTCAGTGTGAAAAAGAACATACATTCCCATTTTGAGGAAAACAAAGTGCTCCCAAAGCACTCAGTTCCTGAAGGCACAATTGGTCTGGCTCTGCTCTGGAGGGGAAAAGGCAGTGACTGAAGCTCTCGGGGGTGAGGGGGGTCAAACCACTCCTCTCCTGGGGCTGAGGACCGGGTGGCAGGATGGAGTTGATGGGAGTGGGGGGAGATCGCTCTTTCTGGATTTCCGGGACCCTCCCCTGCCCCTAGGATCAGGGATCTCCCCCAGTGTCATCCCCCTTCCACACAGACACACCCTTCACACAACTGCTTCCAACAGTGAAAGCCACAGGAAACCAGGCCCCCAACCCCAAATCTGAGCAAGACACACTCACTCTGAAAAATGGAGAAGGCTAAAAACTGATCACGAAACTTCTGATAAATGAGTCCATCAGGCCTGCAGAAAAGTGAGGGAAAGAG